GTTGGCCTATAGGAATCTTTAACACAGCTCATTTTCGTGAAGAGTATCTGTATTTTCAAACAGTTGACTGCATTTGAAAATCCCAGGGCCAATTAAAATTATGATAAGCATGCTATTATTTTAAGAAAGTGTTGTAGTAGAAAATACAGATGCCCCAAATTTTGTCAGCTGTGGCTCATCTACAGAGCCAAGAGCATAACCAAGAAGAGGAAATTAATTAGAAAGCTGGACAGAAAGATAATCTCTATTTGAGATTTTAAAGTGGTGTACATTTCAGATGTCAATTATAGGATCCTAGCTTTTACTTCCAGTAATGAAGACTTATCCCCGGCGACATTTTATTTCCATGTGGTAGCTATGTATTTATGCCTCAGATTTTTCTTTGTCAGAGGACTTTCAAAGGAACCCAGCATGCTTGGAAAAGTCTCTCACAGTATACATTTTAAGATGGAATAATTTGTTTTGTCCAGATTTAATTTTGACTCCCAACAGAGATCAAGAGACTAAAGCAATTTATCTATCAACTTGCTAGAGGGTGTCTTAAGTTTCAGTAAGCAGCAGTACTATATTTATGGGGACCATTTGAGTAAATTTCTTACCATGAGACAATAAATAAACTACTTGGTTTAAAATTAGAAACTAAACAATTTGTCTTGTCATCCAGTGGTACTAAAATTATGAAAAACAGCTCTCCAAAGATTTGAGTAATCTAAGTGTGGGGCTGGCTTTACTCCATCACAGTGCTCTGAAATCCACTGGAAACCTATTTACTTGAATATGAAGATAACTTCAAGATGATGCTTAATTATTTCATTAAAATATTTAGGCAGAAAGATAGTAGAGAAACATGATGACTGAATTCTATCATCTATGCCTCTGGTGGTTATTTTACATACTGGAGTTTCAGTTAAAGCATGAAGTGGTACTGGTGTTGCCATACACCTTCTGGGGAAAGGACGGAGGAAGCGTTGAGTGAAGACAGGCACATGATTCACACTCAGACACTACCTCTAATCCTTCCATTCATTCATCACCCATCCATATCATTCTGTCTGTCTGTCTGTCTGTCTGTCTGTCTTTCCTCCTTCATCAAGAGAAGGGAAAGATCTCAATGATCTGAATTCTCAGTCTCACCTCCTTTGTATTTTGCAAGCAAGCTTTGGTTTCCGTGGGCATGCTGTCCAGGCTTCCAGGGAACTGTCGGGTCCAGCAGGGTGAGAACTGGACTTGTGGTCTCGCTGAGGCGAGGGCACAGACATTCATTCATCTTTGTTTCTCCAACACTTAGCCCAGAGAAAGTCACCAAAATAGCCAGTCAGTCTGTGGTGTGGCTCCCTCTGTTCATCCAGGACAAAGTATCTTTGGGTGCAAAGTCTAAGTGGGAGGCAGGCAGGGGCTGGGTGAAGGGGAGGGGCAACAGCTGAGACTTTTGCTTCTCCTCCTTTAATTCCATCTCCTAAACAATTTCTCCATTATTATAAAATTTGCCAATTTTCTTTCGACACAGGGTTCGTATTATCCAACACTCAGCACTATGATGACGTCAGACCGTGGAATTTGTCTGATTTGGTGTCAGTTCCCCTTTATTCCTGACAATACCTCATATCCATTCTGTTTAGGGTTGATTTAGGGTCATACATGATTGTGGTGGATCAGCAACTAAAATCACTCTTCTAAAGAAGGGTGTACTTTAACATCATGACAGACATCTGAATATTTTATATAGCAGAGAAAATAGCTATAAATTAATGTGATGGGAAACAGATACTCCCTCATCCAAGGTGTTCTTCTGATGTTTAAGATGAAAATAATTTGTTAGTGAAATAATTATCAAACAATCTAAATAAAAATACCAAACAAATCCTTGCACTTAGAAAAAAAAGGAAAATAGTGAAGTGGTACTGGAAAAATATCTTATCCGGTTATGAATATTAAGTGTCCTATAAATATTTGCATTTGTTTTAGTTTCACTTGATAGAGGGGAGGATTGTGTTGACTTAAGTACAGAGTTATAGTTTCTCCTGATCCTGATTTCCTATGTGAATTTATCCTTAATAAAACTGACCAGCTGAGCTTTCTTGTTGGGTCTGATAAGGAACCAGTGAGATGAATACATTGAAAATAAAATTCAGGACCTTGGAAATGAAAGTGTATTTAAGATAAAAGAGGTAGAGAAAAATGATCCTGAGCCAGTGTCGTTTTCTGTTTATCTCTGGAGAAGAAATCTGGCTATGGCGTAACATATGATCATTGCACATCCCACTGAGGTCTGTACTATGTTTTCTCCTAATCTGTCTAAGCACACATAGTTGATTAAGTGCTTCACCATTTGTTAATTTCTATAAACACAAAAGCTTGATCTTTGCATTTGTATTTTGACTATGTAAGAACTACACATGATGTTAAGAAACAGCTGTTTAAAACAGAAGCATAAAATAGTCACAAGGAGTATGGATGTTTAATGTGCAATATAATTTATGGCAAATTTAAATTAGCATAACTGCACATGTCTTACGTATTTCATATGGCATATATACATATTAGATATATATTTAAATTATATATATATATATATTATATATACAAATTATATCTAAATTACACTTATATATGCTATTTCCATTTTTCCTTAATTTACTTGAAAAAACAACGTGTAGAATTAGATCTCACCCCACATCTGGAAAGCCTTATGAGCAAGCATATAAAATTTAAATAAAATTTGGAATATATGTTTTCAGTAACAGCTTTAGGGGCAGTATATAGTTTCTGAAAGAATAGTGAAGTAAAAGGATTTTGTATAAAATATAGAATGATAACAGAAAACCATTTAAAGCATTTAAATAAACTTAATTTTCTTTAACTTTTGCTCATTTTAATGTCATAAAATTTATCACACCAGAATAAAAATATTTAGTTTGATTACATAGTAACATTTCTTTATCTCTTGGCAATGTTTAAAATACCCTTATTCTTAGGTTTAATGAGCATTCTTCAGATGTTCCCAGGAAGGAAACAAGAAGACTAATTCAATATAGTCTTGTATCTCCAGTACTGTAAACCAAGAGTAAGCCTGCACGGTGGTTTTATATCACCTGGCCATATCCATTCCATCATGGAGAGGACGCACTCATGAGTTGAACTTAGCTTGTGCATTTCTTGCACCACATCACTGTGTATAAATCCACATGTATCTGTTGGAAAGACAGTGCTGAACTACTTGCTGTTTAATGTAGTTTCACTTGGTTTTCTGCATAGTCCATTTCTCTTACTAGAAGCAGGCTTTTGGCAGAAAATAGATTCAAATGAAAATATACATCTTTGGTGTTTTAGGTTTTGCTGCAATCCGCATTCCAAACTGAAAATTGCCTCCTGAGTGTAAATTACAGAGTTGCAAGTAGGATCAATAATTTAGTAATTAGATTTGGATCTCAGGTGGATTTAGGAGATTCTCTTGCTTTATGCAGTGATGAGTTCTCCCTTTGTATTTTAACTCTATTACAGGACAAATTCTGTACGAAATGGTTCAGGAATTAAACTTTCATACATATTGAATTTCTCCATTTAATTCTTTTCAAAATCAATTAAATGATACCTTTAAAAGTTCTATTGATTCTCAATGAAATAAATTCCAACTCCTGGGTTTCTTTCGGTTTTATGAGTTGCATGTTCTGGTATTTATAGAGTGGTTGGGATGCTTGGTCTACAAAGAGAGCAATACTTTATATAACTTGTCTCTTGCCATATTTTTCAAAGAAGCAAAGGGTAGAGGTTGCTTTCAGTGTCAGATGAATTGGGAAGAAAAGGGGGTATCTCTTCCTGTTAGGTATTTGTCAGTTCTGTCAGACTGTGGGGTTTGTGAAGTCCTGCCAGATGGAGGCGATTTGAACTCTGCTTCAGTGCTTTTCCCTTTGTAGGACCGACTGCTCTCTCAGCTGGTGAACTTCCTAAACATACTTCAAGAAACGGAGATTCTTCCCAAGTTATTGTCCTTTTTTAAGAAAATGTGCATTATGTGTTTACTTTTCATATAGTCCGACAGTGTGTGTGTTTGTGGAACCCTAAGAAGCCCACAGAAAGCATCTATAGCTACTGTTGACCGCACTACCAAAGACGCATGGATCAGGCCCTTGACTGCTCACTGAGTTCAGGGCAAGGGAGGGAGAGTAACTAGGGGACAGTGGACAGATGAACCTGAGAGACACGGGAATTAGAATTTCAAATTCATCGGTGATCATTTTATTCATCCTTTCTTTGCCATCACACAATTTGCCCCCTATTTTCCATTTGTGGTGCATTTCAGCAGTTTTGATGTTCAGAACCGTCCACTGATATTCATACTAAAGGGCCAGTGCTGTCTCATCCCGTCGTGGAATACAGAAACAGTGTGTTAGGTAATCCGATAGCTTTTGTTATCTGAATTTAGTTTCTTTTAATCCCTTATCTTAAACACAAGGTGAAGTTTCTTCCAATGTTGCTAATTTACATATTTTTTCCCCAAGAATCATTTCAGGCCTGGAGAAAGATGTGTATTTTTAAAAGTTATAGTTTAACAATATGGCAATAAGACATGTACCTGTCTCTTAATTTATCCTGCATGTTTTCCAGAATATATGTGTGTGTAGGCTTTTGTTTTTGCTTTGTGTGCATAGCTCCTTTGACATAGGGATTTTTCACTTTATTTTTTCACGACAAATGGTTCTCAGTTTTTTACTGAGATCTTTTCCCCAACGTACAATGTGCTTTCCTGATACCACTGATATATTTCTTTAATATGTTCATGGAAATATTGTCTAATCTTAATGGATTTTTGTAGAATATATTGTGAAAGGAATGTTATGAGGGCTTATTTTATTTTCTTTTCCATGAAAATCGAGCTCCCTAGAAGTTATCTTTTTTTAGCTTTTTTATTAATATACATTGGTCATAAAATATATTCAGTGTTTGATCTAGTATTTGGTTTTATTCTAATCAATAAAATGTTCCTCTTTTCTTTTTTGTAGAGCAATGAAGTTGTCTACTACAATGCTAAGGATGACCTTGATGTGAGTACTAAATATTCAACATTTACTTCTTAGTTATAATGGGCTGATTATTATTGCAGAACAAATCCATCTTGGCAGGTGTAGATTTTAAGAACGTATTAGATAGTATAAGCAAAACACCAGTTCAACACAGCAAGGAGGTGATAAATTTTAATGCTCATGCATTATATCAGCTCCTTACTTACGCCTTTCTAAGCAGAAATGCCATGTGTGGCTCTAGATTTGAATTTGCAGGGAGCACCATGTGCAAGCCCGAGCCTTTTAAATGCTCCGCATCCCAGCAGCAGTGGTGAGGATAAAACGAGGTCCCACCCTCCTCTCTATCCTGGCCCCTGGCTAAGTCACCACACTTCTCTTCTCCTTTGAACAGCACAAGCCCAGGAGACCACTCACCTCAACCCTAATGGGACAGAGCCCCCTGGAGCTTGGAGAGGAGAGGCTGGCCCCGCAGTCCCTCTTTGACATTCAGTAGCTGCACAGGGGGTTTCTGCCCCACTTTGGTCCTGGGAAGGGAACCAAGGCCTCGAGTCATTGCTGTACCCCTGAGCTATACACTCAGCCCACCAGTGTGATTTTCCCGATGAAAAACTACTGTACATTTTAAAATTAATTATGAACATGGATTATTTTATCACTAATGAGTTACTTCTAATAGTGCCACTCTGGATGGAGATAGAGCAGACAGTCTCAATTAGTTATAGAAACAACACTTCAAATATTTAAAGTACGATTTATACTTATGCTTTAAAACTTCTCTTATTTGATTATTGATAGTGAATATATATATATATATATATAATTATTAATGTAAGAATATTGTTGAGCTTCTCCTATATTTTAAGCATTCATCTAAAGGCCTGAAATATATCAGGGAAGAATCAAATTAATGTAGTAGAATTGTATTTGCTACCCAAACATTTCTCCTTCAAATAAAAAAATTCATAAACACACACACACACACATACACACACACACACACACACACACATACTTTGCAGAAATGTCACAACTCCCCAGATTACATCACTAGTAATAGTAATTATGAAATAATAATTGAGCACTAAATTTCTCCATATACCACTAACCACTTTTCATAAATTATCTTAATTCCTGTAGTAATACTATGAACAAAATTTTTTATTTCCTCTCTCCTTTTTGCTGATGAAGAATTAAATGAAGAATTAAACTTTCCTCCTTTGTATATAAGTAGTTTACTAATGAAATTGTCCTCTTACAAAGGGTGTGTATATCATTTTAATCTTTAATTAAATATATCAAATGATAGACACCTTTTTAATTAAGAAGGGTATATAAAACATTTTAACACAAAATGATTTAGTGTGTATTGGTTGGTGGCTGAATGACTACCACTGGGGGAGAGAAGTTTAGCTTCTGATTAGAATTAGTATTTGATGTTTAAGTATTATATAGTCATTTAAAATATATGCAGAATCATCTTCTGCCTGCCTGGTATTATGTTCATTTCAATCACAATGCTACAAAGTTAACATATATTCCCAGGAGAAGTGAAAAAGTGTTCACAGATTTCATATGTGCAATACTTGTGCTGTATTCAATATTTTCTTGCATAGTTTGTCTACAGAGATATTTATTTAGGTATTCAGATAAAATTTTCTGTGAGAGATAAAAATATTCATAAAAATGGACATATTGAAGTTTCTTGTGTTTTATATTTTTCCATAATAAAAATGTGGATAATACTTCTATGGATTATAATTATGTCTATAAAAAGTATTCATTGTCTTTGCTAGGCCTAACATTAGATTTCCTAAATTTAATCAAAACTTTAAAAATAGCAAATTATCACCTATTCAATTTGACTTCTAAAAATTAATAAAAGCTTTTGGAGAAACATTTTTTCATTTATTTATATGAAAATAATAATGGTGCCAGAACAACTTGCAGAATGTTGTGTAGTGGAAAAAGAAGTAGAACACGAATGAAAAACTAATCCATGCATGACCCAGATGGTTCCAAATTTTAGCTTCCCTTAATGTATTAAAATTAATTACAATTAAACAGCTTCTTTTTCATGTAAGAATGTCATGTACATCTCTAAACAGGATGGGATTTGAATAAGAAGATGTGTGTAGAAAGAACATACTTGCATGTGCGGACCTCAGAAGTTGTGTGGCAACTCAAATGTTAGAGAATTTGATGCCCACAGGAAGAAAAGCTATTCATAGCCCTCTTACTCTACTGTAAATGCGTCTTTTTGTTGCATTTTTAAAATTTTTTCATCAACGTATCTTTACATGCTTTCACGATTCTTTAAATAAGCAAATCAGTAAGTAGTTTAGTTATTTCCTATGCCAGGAAACAGTTATTAAATCACTGTTGTAAGCAGATATAACACAATCCCATTCTACCTCGTAATTTTAATAGTCCTTTCTGTATATGCACATATACAGTAATGGGGTAAATACCCATGTGTGTGAAAATTTTTCTTCATAATTTTGACTTATTTGTAGCATAGATTCCTCAAAAGGCGTAGCATTTTGTCAAAGGTTTTAGATTATATTAAGACATTTTGGCACATATTGCAAAATCACTTGAAAGGACCAGACCAAATCTCATCAATGTACAAAGTAATTATTTCTTCAAAGGCTGCTCAGTGCTGTATTAAAAGATAAATTAGCACTTTAAAATTGTTTTTCACTGCTTTGATTACTTGTGTCTGCTAAAATTCACATTTTTCCCTCCATATGGAAAACCATGCACTTGCAAAAGACTCTTGTTGTCAGCTGTGTGACCTTTTTTACATTTTCCAAGCTTAGTAAAGTTCAATTTATTTATCTGTAGAATCTGTACATTATCAGATGTTCCCTCATATTGGCTAAAATAAGGTTTTATACATATGAAGCTGAGAACCTATTGCCTGACACATGTAAGATGGAATAAATGCCCTGAGATTTTGCCACATTAATGAGTTAATTCCTAATAGATATGATTTTGATAAAAACAGCAGGTTGTTTTGTAAGACATTTTACACTTGATCTTAGCCAAAAGGCTGAGAAGAGATTGTAAGACATTTTAAAAGATATTTGTAGTATTAACTTTAAATTTGTTTCACATATTTCCACCTGAAATCTGAGTAAATTATTATCACATTCAGAAATATTCAAATTCAGATGATTCAGAAAGAGTCATCAAGTATGTGGAGAAATATGTAAGACATTCGGCTAGGTATCTGAGGAAATATTTTTTATTGGATCTGAACATTTAATTTTATTTTACACTTCCTGTTATGCATGTAAATTAAACAATCACCGCTGGTGATGTGGCTATCGTTGCTTAAGTAAAGCAAGAAGGTAATTTTTCCAGAGAAAATATTTTGAGGATTACCTAATAAACCATAATTCTACTTACCGATGGCTTTTGAAAAATAGCAGGGTCAATAAATTCTCATGTCGTATGCCAGCCTGAGCTAAACTCTGAGAGGCATCAAGGTAACAGTATGATTTTCTGGATTTAGAATAGTTGGTACAAAAATTCTGAAAGCTTGTAAAAATTTATAAAATGATTTGTGTTTCATGAAGACTTTTTTTTTTATTCGAGCAACTCAAAAGTGCTTTAGCTATGGTAGTACCAAAACCTTAGGTATTAAATAAAAATGGACCATGTTGCATTCATTGGAGTATTGGATGGGCTGTGATATGCGCACCTCAACTAAACATGGCTAAAATGAGACCGATTTGGATCTCCTGTCATGAACATTCTGGGTACACAGGCTAACGTGGCACCTACAATCACCCCTTTTCTCTCACTGTACACCTGTGGACTGAGATGGACACTCCAATGTCCTGGATATGTTTTCCTTTGTTTTCTCTTTCCTTTCCCGGAGGACATAACCTTTGTCCCTGAGGACTTCTTGGGGAAGCTGCACAGATGGCTTCTATCCTCAGGTAAACATTGCCTTTGATATTCTGCTTCAGAATTTACAGTGGTTGCACATTTTCCCCCCAAGATGATTACTTAGCTGAGGAAGTTGGCCTCAGCAGGAAGAGCACGGGGAGTGCAATTTGCCCCCTTTGGGTGGACCCCACCCTCACGTAAAATGGAGAGTTCGCGCCTTAGAGAAGGGAGATGCGTGCGTGGTGTCTCCTCATGTCTTCAGTTCGCTGTGCTCATCATAGTAATGTTGATGCTACTCCCCACCGACTCATCTGAATGGATGCTACTATTTCAGTGCCATCAAATCCTTTGACCTGGAGAAAGATCTTTTTACAGTGGATGAATATAAAATGGTATATTCCCTAGTCTCTCCTAACACTTCTGTTTCATCATCATGATGAAATTGTTTTCTGATATTAAAATCTGTCTTACAGTGAAAGCCAAGAACTGTAAGTTACTGCCTCACTTTGATGTTCTGCTTCAGAATTTTCAGTCATTACACATTTTTCTACCAAAGTTGATTATTATATGATGAAGTAGAAGATGTTTGTATGATGAAATATATTCACTTTCACCAAAAGTTTTGCAGTGCAGCTGAATTTAATTAGCCACTCTATTCCTAACTTCATGCATGTGTTATTTAATTTTTATCTATCAGATTTTCAGAAATCATAATATCATCAAATCCAATTCCCATCTCTTCAGACACACTAATGTCTTCATTCTTGCCACTGCCCCCCATGCGGCTGAGTTCCTCTTTCATGACTGTCTCTTGTTGTAATGTCGTGGATGCCTTGATAAACAGTATCGATTCAGAATGTTTCCTTTTGGTGATCATTTCGAGTTCAGAGAAGAAGGAGTGCTTTGCTGGTGGTGAATCTGTGGATAAGGTGGATGCCGATTCGCCGGAATGACTGTGAGTTGGACATTAGGTGTTCAGCAGCAGCAGGCACCACGCTTGAAGGTGACGACTTGTACAGACACTTGTGAGAAAGCACTTCCAGAACTGCCTCAGAAAGTCACTGACAAGAGGGGATACGTGTGTTTGAAGGGAGGGAGAGAATCTTGAGGAAGATTAATGTCAG